CTTTTTTTTTTTTTTTAATTTCCTGAGCGCAAAACTCCCAAGGCAATTTTTTAGGTTGAATACATGCATTTTTAAAATCTATAATCTGAATTTGAGGCTTTTTATTTCAATGACAGCACACAATGAAAAAAATATGAACCTCTTACATTTTGAAAGCAAGGAACAGCTTGATATAAAATGTCATAGAAAGCTAATTTTTAACGGATTTTTGTTTGTTTTTGGCATCTTCTGGGTACAAATATTGTATAAGTTGTGTTTAGGAACATTTAGTGACATTTTGTTCCTGCATACTTTCTAAGTACTTCTAAAACTCGGGAATGGAATACAATTGAATGTCTCCAAGGAGGAGAAGAAGCATAATTAATAATTATAATAAATGTATAATTGTCATGAAATAAAAAAAAATAATAAAAATCATGAAATATTCCTTGAAGTCTAATTAATTCTAATTTTCATTTTACTGTTAAGGTTACTTCGCCCGTGAAGGTCTCTTTGTGTCTACATGTAAAATGTAGGCCAACTGTCAGTACTTTTAAATTGTGTAACCTTAGGATCATCGACTCTAACCATCAACATTTCTTTATAGGTCAGATTGGACCTACATGGCGTATGGTGGGAGCCACCTCGATTAACACCTCACCCGAAACCACGGTTTTTCAGGAGAATTCCTCGTTCAAAAGCATATCCCCTTTTCCTAAGGGTGAGAGGGGTTCATCGCTAACAGGTAATTTGAATTAATTCATCACTTTTGGAAATTAGAAAATGTGTTCTGAAATTAAAAAAAATCATATGTCAGATGTGACAGGGACACAAAAAATGGACCCCTAATTTCTGGCATTACCCGCTTCTCCCTTTCCCCGAAAAAAACTTAAATTCTCAGTGAATGAAAACCCGGTTACCTACCCACAGCGTTAAACTTAAAGACCTAAGCACTTCATATGTTTATCCAAGTCCATTAAAGTTTGAAAAAAAGATTCTCACCAAAACTGCCATTGTTTAAACGTGGCTAATAACAACCTACGACCTCAAACCTCATGCTGCAGTGCGAGGTCCAATCAGTGGGCAGAATGCGTAAGAATCTAGTATGGATGGCTCGCGAGAAACGAGTGGTCACCTCGCTGTCTATGACTATGTTACCGGGGAACTGTTGAGAAAACATTATTTGAAATCAGAAGACAATCTTCAAAGTGGAGTACATATTTGTTAATTTTTGGACGGGAGTTTAGTGACCGAGTCCTTACCTTGAGAGAGAGATTTACTTTTCAACAGGGGTGTACCGGGAATGGTTAGGTTAGTAAGTAAGTTAAAATAAGATTTACACAGTACATTTACCAATTTTTCTTATATAACGTTTTAGAAAGTTGTCAAGGGAGAATCGTTCACAACGTATACTTTGGCTGTACTGAGATCATCCCGTTCCATGTGGATTGGTTCTCTTTAGCCTGCTTAACCTGTAGACCACGTAAAAGTGCGGGGTTTTCAATTCACCTGGTGGACTGACGAGTTTGTAGGCGGCAAATGCCATATTCTTAGCACCAGAACACGAGGTAATGGCCATTAAAATGGGTGGTTGACTTAATGTTTTCAACATAGGCCTAAAACCGGTTACATTCTGTCCAATTGACGGATCGAAAGATTTTGGTTGTTATTTTAATTGGAATTTAACACCCATCTTGCATGGGTTTACCTTTGTGGGTGTCCCATCTTCGTTGGATTCTTGACTCCAAGCCTCGCCATCGTCACTAAACATTACTTGGTACTGTGTAACCCGTTGGACATTATAAGGCGGATCACCACGGCCTTGGGTAATGAGAGCAGTGACGTAGACGAAGGTATTGAAATCAACCTGAATCCAGGGATTCGGGTCACTTTGTCCAGCGTCAGCCCAGGCTGCCGGAAATCCTATTCAGAAGTAAGCGGGAAGTGCATGTTTTATAAAAGGTTATGCAACAAAATCCATTGTAAATTAACATGTAGGAAAGGGTGTAGCTTTTTCAATTTTTACTTGTTTGTTTGCTTGTTTGTTTGTTTGTTCGTTCGTTCATTTGTTTTATTAATAATAAACTGCTCCACAAAAGGTTATGAGAGCTGCACTGATCGTCTTTGCTATTGTAGAATTCAATGCGCATATCTTTTGTTGAATTGTAGCTTACCTTGAGTATTAAGCCTTGCTCTCGGAGGCGCATAGTTCGCGTCGTTACTAAAAAATGACGAAGCTGTGATGCTACCATCCGGAATTCGACCATCCTCCATCCCAAGAGGCCCCTCCTCAGAGCAAACACGTACACCTGTATAGTATCGATGATTTTGCATGTTGTTAGGGCTGGTTATTGGATACCATTATTTTCTAAAACTAGAAGCAATTAAAAAAGTTATTAGGAGGCCTGACGTTTCGGTCAACGTTGTCATGGTCAACCGCTATCACCAATGAACCTGTTAGGAGCACAAACACATTCTTTTACCTCAATTTATACAATACATTGTACATACCAAGCCTGCAATGGAAGGGGATAAGTGCCTTGACGACATGGAGTTGATTCTTGAAAGTCTCCAGTTGAGAGTACAGTGGTCGAAGCGCTATTTCAAGAGCGGAGGTTGTGTTATGTTGGTGTGAGCATTCACTGTTGGCACAGCTCAGAACCAAGACCACGACACTAGCAACCAGGAGGCAGGCCATCTTGACCATTGGAGAGCAGTGTTCATCCCTAGCCTCGATCACTTTCAGACCCGCGCTTAAATAGGTTTACCGGTGCTCTTGAACCCTTGAACCTGAAAAGTGTGCACGCCAAGGCACCACAAAATGAGAGCAAAACAATTTTATCAGGTCATGTTTCCTCCAACTGTACAAAATCAAGTAAATGTCAACAGTCGTGGTATCTATAGCTAGGACTACAAAAAGGTGACTGAATCTATCAAAGGCGAAATTGTACGGTGGTTCAATGGTGAGTCATACGAGGAAAAAATGTAAGCAAACAGATTTTGTTGAGGGAACAACAAAATTTTGTGGAGGCAAAATTAAAATTTATTTAAGGGAACAACAAATGTTGTTACTTTACAAAAGCGGACACATCGGACAACTGATCTGACTATTCACCACTGTTAACAAAACCGTTAAGTTCCTTAAAACTTAGAACTTAGAGAAAAAAGTCCCTGTTTGGAACGGAGTCGACAGAAAGTGCCTGAGCGAGAACGCTCTGAAATGAAGTTTAGTCCTTAAAATATACTTGAAGGCTAACGTGAATTTGGGCAGTAGATATTTGTCACAACCTTTCAAAATTGATCTTTTCAAACAGAAGATTCCTCGTGGAATTTGAACCAACTCACCCACAATACTATACTTTCCTCTTATACCTGCAATGCCACGATTATGTTTATGTCCAAGACCCCACATAATGACGCTACAGGTACAATTCAGGAAATGCCAAAATATATCTCGGCCCAGTTGCAAACATGGGCTTTTCCCCATCTGTAAAATCAGTGGGTAGTCAGATAGAGTGCATCTAAATAAAAAGCAATGTTACTGATTAGAAGTTTGAAACAAATCCCAGGGTACGTGCAGCTATCACGGGGTCATCCGCCGGAAAGAAGCCCGACGCCCCATCCAAAGGGTTTTTAGTAAATTCATAAAAAATATTTCTATTCCTGGTTCCTTTAAGAAACGTGACCGACATTTGGTCAAAAGCAACCAGGGGCGTTAGTTGTAGACTATCGCCACCAAGTGCGCACGATGTGAATTGGTCCACAAAATTATTTATCACAAAGTCGAGAGATACACCGTGTACTATGGAATAATGGCTTAATTGCCAGTCTTGAGAGGAGAGTAGTCCTCATACCTCGTAGAAGCTTCCCCTGTTGACATGTCAGACCGTACCCCCCCCCCTTTGAAAAAAATCAATCAGCCAGAGTCACAATTTTATAGTCTAGTGTCCCCAACGTGTTGTTAAAAAAGACGTGTTCACTCGGTCGGTCCTCTGATTTCCTGGAACAGGAACGTACTTACAGGAACACAGAGGAAGGTACATGTCTAGACTTAAAGGAACCAGGAAATAAATTTTCCTGAGAATCACTTTTTGTGTATCTCAGTACTCTTCTTCCATGTATAAAGACTGTTCAAGTTGACATCTTTTTTGAGTTACATAACTGAAATGTGCACTTTTGCAAACATTGAAAATTGACCAAGCATTTCTGGACAATTGAGGGCACTTTTGCTTTGAGGTAAATCCAGGAAGACATAGTTCAGGTTGCATGTTCTCATGTTCAAATTGTGAACCCCAAATTTGCCATCTGGGAGCATTTCTGTGAAAAGGATTTTTGCTGGATTATTGCCATATACTTGTGCAGCAATAAATTGCCAAAGAAAATAAAATCTGGCACAGCAGTGGTTAAAAAAATCTAGAAATTTTCTGTGCACAGATCAGTGCAAAATTAAGATTCACTGCCTTGGATGACATCATAGTTCTTCTCATGAATATGCAAATATGCATTAATATAAAACCACAAAAAGCATCAGAATATGGGTTAAAATTGCAAAACAAATATTTAAAATCAGGTTAATTTGAAACCTAAAGATGCAGTTTCAAGGGTTTTTAGTAAATTCATAAAAAATATTTCTATTCCTGGTTCCTTTAAGAAACGTGACCGACATTTGGCCAGATGTCATCGATGTATTCCCCGAGAAATGACCATGAGTACCAATGACGTCCCAGTGGCTCGTCTTTGACATGTTGAGAAGCCATTAGCCCATTTAAAGGGTGTTTTGTCAAGTTTTTATTATAACTTTTTCACTTTTTAATGTTTTATAGCTCGATGCATGTTACATATAACTTTTTCTCAACAAAATAACTGGCGTTTTCGTGGAGGCGCCAGTGCGACTGACGAAAGTCAAAATTATTGAAAAAGAGGAGTACAGTGCGCAGTTCTTGAGACTAGGCTCTGCCCAATCTTCACTCACTTCCAGAGGATTTATCAGAGGGTACGAAGGATGTCTTTTATAATATAAAGCAGGCTTCACCCATGCTTGTAAAGTGAACAAGATGTCTTGTTGAGATGACTCACAGAAAAAAATCTGGTCTCGTCGTGTGTCTGCCTTTGATCCGCTGAGGTTACCTTTACCATACGGTTGCAGAAGGCACACTGTATTAAAACACTGTAGCCTTGAACATCAAATTACCGTAACAACAAAACTCTGTGTGTGATTGAGTTCAAACTTCCAATTAATAATAAGATGAAGTTCTTTTTCTACTTGCATGCTAAGTTTTTTTTTTTAATCAAGCATGGCACAGCCAAGTTTTTTGGGGCGGATTCCACCCCCCCCAGCTGTGAGATGTGCCAAAATAACCTGTCTCTTTTCGGGTTTAAGAATTTCAAATACTCGCATAGATGACCATCCGCACTAGCGTTCCACTGCAGGTACTTCTTCGAGCAGCGCAATTTGTGTCATCGAGTCTTTTTGACCGGCAAACATGACGAGCGGACATTCACATCATGAATGTGGATTATTTTCTAAGATAAGCTCTATGCTGTGTTCAAAATTTATGCAGCAGCATAAAATCTTACTCTGTGAAGAAATTATTTTTTAAGCAGTATATTTATAACTGATATATAGTCAGTCAAAAATGAAGGAAACCTTGACTCTTAGGACGGAACGGCCAGTACGCGCGGTTCGTAGGCGTATAATGATGAGGAGAAGAAGGCCACGATGAAGGGTTTGAAGACCGGCCACAACACATGCATCGGGTAGCAGTCTTAACTGGATTGCTACTAAGAAAAGAATTTTGATATTAAAATAAAGTCATGAACGGAAACTAGCTCTTGTAATTTCAATTTTTTTTCAAATTTTTCAACTTTTTGATATTTTTGATAGTTTTCAAAAATGTCTGTGACACTTCTTATCTGATTGGATTTGTACTTTAGTACAAGATTCCACCTTTAAGGGGCTTCTGACATGTTGCATAAACAATTTCGTATCTGGAAACACGTACACTTTGACCAAAAAGGTTGACCCTTTTTTTTCAGCTGAGTTCATATCTTGTGACATTGTTAAATTGTTGGTGCAACATGATTATGTTCACGCAGCTTGCTGAAAACGTCACCCACGTTGAGTGACTTTCAATTGGGCTCTGCACTCTAAATACATGTACATGTATGTCATTATTCATTCAACTCTTCAATTCCAACATTTTCCTCTATATACCGCTGGTCTTAATGCAGGTTTGGAGACTTCCTCCCTTGCGTACATTTGATTCAAATTAATTTGAAACCGACGACAAATGATGACGATAAAAATTCCATCTAGTCCGACTGAAGTTAAAATGCTCGACGATACGCTTGTCCTCCATTGGCACTTCAGTTTGTCCAATTGTGGATCCTCAACTGGCCATATACGGAACCAATTTCCCCAACGATTGGTAGTAGAACTGTTGATGCTGTTGGCAATTCTTGAGGAAAGCGGAATGAAAGCAGAGCTTACCATATACTTCTTCAACTGGATATACAGGTTTCTGTCTGAAAGCGTATCTTTATCTGATAATATTTAGATTGTCGAAAATTTCTTTTCAAAGGGGAAAATTTAGGCATTATTGTAATGGTGCCCATGGCACGTCAGCCGCACAAATTGTGGCCCGAAACGAACAGTTACTGCATGCCTGCCTGGAAAATTGTCGAAATAACTCGAGATGTTGCCCTTCCTTGTTTATTCCTAAGCACACACATTTAATTTCAAGGCACTGTCTCGGTGAAATTCTGAAAAAATATACCTTGATGACATGTTAGTAAATTAACCTTAATAAACGAACGGGAACAGCTTGTCAGAAGTCTGGAAATATAATTTTTATTTCTTGAATATACCAATGTTGGGAAGAAATGGGAATTTAATGGATAAAAAAACATCCCGCAATTATACTGCAGACATCCAATCAGCAATCGATTGTCGGCAAAACGTGCCATTATCAACTACAATAAGACTGATATTATTCATGTAACAGGTACAGTGGTTTCATGTACATGAAAAAAAATGGGTCCTGAAATACAGTTCAATCAATTGCCAAACACTGTGAAATAACAGAGAAATCCAAGCAAAGAATGGATACGCGTGCAAGCTAACCCATTGGTATGAATTCGTTGTATGCCAAGCAAAAGGACGTTAGCAGCTCAGGCACACAAGCATTTTGGAGATAAACGGTTTAAACGTTTTGGGGATCCTATTTGTAAATACAAAAATCACACAAGTCTGAATCTTAGATTGAAGAAGTTTGGTTGAAAATTAAAATAGCATTGTGACTCATTATAAATTAAAAACCTTAAATTTTAACAGTAATTTACTTTTTATGCTGACAACCTTGCGCTGGGAACTCCTCATGCCTAATAATATGTGCGGTAAAAGCAGCATGTTAACTCCTCCTGACCCTGAGTGCCTCCACACTTTGTCACACATGCTAACATCCTTATTCCGACAAAATGAAAAATAATCTTCCGTCTTTCATTTTATTATATAACATGGCGCACTGAGGCGACATACCAAATGAAGGATATTTCAAATTTTCAATGTTCTGTCAATTCCCCCCCCCCAAAAAAAACAACCAAAATTTTGATCTTTTGACCCATTTTTCACCCTTACGACCTTCTTCCGGGCATCCGATAAATCATTCTTTGTTACCTTAAATTTTGAGTGTGCCCATAGAGGTAGAATTGAAGGCATAAACATGCATTAATGAAGATTAATTGTTCATGGTCGATGAACAAGCCAAGGAGTCAAAAGAGTGTCACAATAAATATACACGTAATGGTTTTTTTTTAACTTTCTGAAAATAAAGTACTGAAGTGAATGCGTCAAGCACGAAATCTGTGTAAAAGGCATTAGCACCAGACCAGCAAGTGAACCAACACGAGCATATACATGTGCTCCATTCTTTTACACTACACTTCCTGGTTCAAATGACATCACTCTTGGGTACTCTATGGCAAGACTAACCTTTGTTGACCTTCTCAAATAAGGAATCCTTCGACCAACATTAACCACGTCCCCAGAAAGCAAATAAAAATCTCGACAGCAGCAATTTTTCTGTACAAGGCATTTTTGAGTAAAAGATCCTGAAATGAATCAAATGTTCTTCGATGCAATAACATACAAACAAATGCAGTTGGAGGTCCTGTAAATAAGCCCGTCATCATGCATATATAACATTTCACCTGTCTCATAAAATACAAAAACAACCAAAACCTTGTGCAAAATGGATACTGTTTGGTATGTGATGTTGACTTCTTCCAATAATGCCAGACAAAATATGGCCTCAATTGGCAACCTCTTGTTATGGTGAACTGTCCTGTGAATCATTCTAAGCAGCAGTCTCTCTATACATAATGCTTCTAAATATATTCTCTTTGATTGTCAAGTGTTCCACGAGCACGCCTTAGAAGAGGTATCCTGGCTACATTGTCCATTATGCAATTTGCAGCTCATGAAGATGCATGTTGTCTTGGATGACTACCATTCAGTGCATAAACCCAAGCTTAATGGAGGTGAGGTGACAAGAGGTGTTAAGAGAACAAAAAGCATGAGGCTTACCATGGGAACAAGAACACCTCTAAAATACCCACTGACCAATTAGGAAAGTCACTAGAAGCCAACCGCATATAACTGACATTTGGTGAACTTATTCACAAAACACTAAATTGCACTTGATATTGTACAAGCACAACATTACTGAGAGAGTGGTGTAATATCCAACCTAACAATCACCACACATCATAATGATAGTAAACTGATTCTTGACATAAATATTCTTGTCAGCCAGCCATAGGCATTGGTCGTACTCAGCCACAGGTATATCTCATAGACACTGATGGCCAAAAGACGAGCATGTTTGCGAAGTGTGACCCGAGCACGACACACCCAACCGGGACACTGTCTGCGGTCGTGCTCAGCCAGGGCGCGCACACAGCAGCGGGACATGTTGATGAAGGAGCTGGCACTCTTGCGACTCCTGAGGGAGAACTCGATGCCTCGGAGCAGGTCGTTAGTCTTGAGGAGAAGCAACATCTGCCGTGGGATGCGGTTCAAGATGCTAGAGATCTGAGGGATGTACAAAGCCACGCTTCTCTGGATTTCTTCATCCTGATTTGGGAGGAACAAAGCATCATCTGTCAAGAAAGTACACTATTTTTGATTCTTAATTTCCCAAACAAGAAAAAACTTGATATCTCCATTCAAGTAGAGACAAGTGATTGAGTGCATTTACACACCAATTTAACTGCCATTGCTACTTGGTTTTGGACACTTAGTTTCTTGTCTTGTCAGATTATTTCAAAAAACTTACATGCTGAAGAAGCATTTTTCTGATAATTCAAGAGCATTCGGTATGGGGAACCAAACCTCCACATACATGAGCAACCTAACAAGCCAGAACAAGAAACATTAACTAAAAGAAAAGTCACACAAGTCTCATTAGGACTGAGGTAGGGTCAAAGAGAGAAATTCTAATATGAAATAAAGTTGAGTTCTACTTACCTCTTCATTAGATGGAGCAACTCTGTCGATACCCGTTGTGACTACATCCCAGCTCCTAGCTGTCAGCATGCAGGCAAATAAGGCATACATGTCTCCTGCCCCTAATGCCTCACTGAATTTCTTGATACCGTCGATGTCAGCTGCTATGATGGACTGCCAGAAATTGGCATAATTCATCCGAAACTCATCTGTTAAGCTCTGTGAAAATCAACACAAAAATTCCAGAAAATGATATAAGAATGAGGTAAACATTTAGCAGAAGATTACCAATTGTTCTGGAACAAATTCATGTCTAAAGGGTCCAACGAAATAATAATATCCAATCACACTGTCTGTTTGGGGAACATTATTGAAGAATTGACCCACCGTGTGCCAAAATTTCAGCAATTTAAAAACCCTCCTGGAAAAACACGATGAACATATTATTCAAAAATTAAGTCCCAAAAGGCTTTCAATTAATCTCTCTTTCTTTCTTTGTTTTCTCTCATAAAATTAAAAAAAAGGTGGTCTGTAACTGCAAATATCAATGGAATGTAACAGAAAATTCATGTTATATGAGAGAAGTTTGCCGGTACACCACGTGAAATCAATCTCTTCTTTGCGAGAGGTGATTCTGAGAAGTACCGTTGAGAGTGAACTCGACATTTTGACTAGGATGCTCTGACTGTCCTCAAGAGGGATCAGGCATTTCAAATTGGGATTCATTGAGAATTTGATTCATAAAGCAGGTATCTACATTCTCAGCTAGAGTTTACCATAAATGAGCGCTTTGTAAACAAGACTATTAAGGTAAAAACACAAACCTGGTAGAGTCCATGATCCAGCAGGACAATTTCAGGATGACTTTGGGATGTCTTCCGAACCAACACATTGCCAGGGTGAGGGTCACAATGCACAAAACCATGGACAAAGATCATTTCACTGTACATCTTACCTAAAGCCTGGGTCACCTGTCAAACAGAAATAAACAAAAAACATAACGATGATACATATAGTTTACCAATATTGACTGCTTTGAATGGCACATAAAACTAGCTTCCAAAGACAGCCTTTACACTGTTCATTTTGCACAGGTGACACAAAGGAAATCTTAACTCTCCAGAAACAACCAAAGAGGGTTTTTAACCTTCCTAATAAATTTAGGACAGTTAAGAACACCTAACACAAAAATTAAATACTGTATTTTATACAAAAGGCTGAGTTGATGAGAGGCATCTTAAACCTGGAACATTCCAGTTGTTTCAAATGTTCTCAAATTTATTCATTACCACTTTACTTTGTGTTTTTCGCAAGAGCATCGAAATTCTACACTGAGGCACCAAATTTTTAGATTAGGTATGCATTCACGGAAACTAACTGAAATTCTCATTCAACTATCTCATATGCCAACCATAAGCAACTTTCTGCTAAAGTGTGCAAAGATTCTCTGCTTCTCAACACTGTTACAAAGTGGTTCTAGACAGAATTCTCCCACTAGAATGTTTCAAGCATTCAGAATATAAAGAGACTATATATTTTGCGCATAGCAGTTTGAAACTCAACTGTCCAATACCTGTTTGGCAAAAAATGTCTGAAATTTAGAACAATGATTGCCGAATTCAAGACATGCCAATGAATCAAACAGTGAGATATCAGACACACATTGGGTTCATAGTGTAATGGCCCACCTTGTTGACATCAATGTCATGTTTCTTCATATATTTGGCATCATCCACTCGTCCACCTTGGCAGTACTCCATTGTCAGCACCCTGGTTGTAGACAGATCCCAGTAAACTGTAGGGACCTGCAAACAATGAACATGTGCCACACCCAATCATTTCAATGATAACTCTATTGTGATGCATTTAACCAATTAACATCAGAGGAAATAAGAAACAACTTATTCAGAGCAAAAGACCAACTGTGTGCGCTCAGTCACGTGACCTACAGTGGGTATCAAACACCAACAAACATAGAGTCCTCCCATAGCAAAATGTGTCATATGTGTCATTAGCCGACAGTCAGTAAAGTACTAAGATTACTGATGTGCTGAGCACTATCAGCATTATTTTTAGTGAACAACATTTATGACACACTTTGCACTAAGGAAGGACGCCATGTTAGTTGATACCTGCTACCGGTCATGTGACTTAGATGGTGCAATCGGCCTGTTTCACAAAGAGTGTGTAAACACAACGTAGCAATGCAATGTGTTGCACAGATCAGGTGACTGGCTCAACCATCAGGGTGAAGTTACTGGAAGAAGTTACTTTTCAAATAACTCTCAAGAATCCCTACTTGTGATGTTTGACATAATTAACTAATTTGTCCTACGCACTGTCTTGATTAAAATGGAGCTTTTCGGCCCCAACAATCCCAGCAACAAGTTGTTAAAGGATGGAAGGTATAAACCTTGAGGAATTTGAAGTGACCCAGGAGACGAGCAGCTTTCTCTGCATTCTGACCTTCTTGTACAAAGTCCAACTCAACAGGCAATTTCTTCTTCATCTCCTCGCTCAGCCACAGCAGCTCAAAGTCAGGAAAGAGTCGTGCAGCAGCATGTAAAAGGAACTGAAAGAAATCATGTCCAATTGAAGTGGAAGGATCCATTCTAGATATGATCGTTTTAGAGACGTACATACCTCTGTGGGTGTCTCTTTGATGCATCAATAGATGAAGCAAACTTACCTCGCAAACTTGCTCCTTGCAAACTTTAAGCCGATTTTGAAACTTTCCAAAAAACTCCAGCCACAGTGGCACGCCGCTATAACAAACATGACGGGTTCCACGCTAAATGTTTAGTACAGTGGTAGTTCGGTATAGCGAATATAACTGCCAAACGTTTCATTGCCATGTTGAATAGCACCCTCTCTTGACTAACTGAAGTGCACTCTCTTCTGATACTACGATTCGCTGTTTTTGTGATGTTTTGCCGTTGCATTCACGTTCGAGGTTTCTAAAAATGAATCTGTTAACTATTTTTGTTTTTTATTAAATCTTGAGTTACAAAATGGATATTTAGTCTATCCTAAAAGTCGTGAAGCTACCGCTCAGGATCGATCTCTGATGCATGCTGTGGCGAATCTCGGTTGATTTCCAACTACATAATGTTTGGTAGGTTTTGTGCACAAAATATTGACAGCTAAGGATGATGTTCAGTACAGCCGAATGTTCGGTATAGCCGTTTTCAGTATAGCAACGTTCCACTGTACACACACAAATAAACAGTGACACACATGTATATAAATGGGGTGGGGGAGGGAGACACCAGGGACATGTCCTTCCTTCCTTAAGAGGAAGTCTGTGCCACAACTTCCCCCTCCCCCACGAGTGTGCATCCCTGGGTGTACCAAAGTTACCCTTTTGTGAATAAATGTCAAACACATTTCCTTACCAATAAACTTGTCAAACCGAATCTGTAATACAAGCCACGTCACTCTACAACATGCATGCTTAGTTTAGGGGTTTGTCAATCTTCCAGGAACTGACATATGGGTAGCCCCAACGTGATCACTCAAAAATTTGAAAAGCCTTCAGACAAGTTGAACTTACATCAATGGTTTTCATGTCCACATCAGAGTAAGCCTTGACGTAAGGGTGTTGAACTTTGACCGCTACCGACCTGCCGTCCTTAAGTGTAGCATGGTGCACCTGAGCCAGGGAGGCTGTGCCTATTGGCTTATCAGAAAAGTCCAGGAGCACATCATCAACCTGGTAGTTAAAGAGACAATAGTTTTTTTTTCTATGCAAGCAAATAAGATTCCAAGTAAAGCACAGAAAGTAGGCAAGGCGAAAAACAAGCAATAACCTACGAAGGGACTGGCAGGGAAATTTACGAATAAAAAATTGAAATACACACTGAAAGGATATTGGGATAACACAAACACCAACTTACAAACATAAGAAAGGTTCCAGCATCTCTCTCTTCATTTTGGGCAAAGCTTAGCGTTTGAGAGCTTAGAGTTTGTAGAATTAGAGTTTGTACTTCAGGCAGAGTACACCTACAAAACACAGGTGCCTCGGGCCTACAAACCACATTATTTGGCCTTGCTACCAAACATACCTTGCAATGTAAGTCTTCCTCAATGACACTTTTGATATCTTCCAGCCTGCTGCAAGGGGCATCATTGTGAAGCACCTTCATTGTCTCTACGTACTCCTTTGGGAGGAGGTAATCCAGCGCACCAATGTGCTGCCCTGCTTTGATGAAGATGCCGCCATTCTTGCAGCAAAGGCGGTAGAGTCTTTGGGCCGATCTGAGATGCACCTGATAAGTTGCACAACAAAATGATAACACATACCTATTCAACATTAAATTTCCACTTGTAACTTAGGGGATGGTGGCCTCAAAATCTAAAAAGGTTAAAGACTGATTTTGTGGAGTTAGCAAAGTATTTCCAAATGCTACTGTTTTTGTTCTGCTCATAAAATTGTTCAGAGGTTCTATCTAGTCTAGAAATTGTTCCAAAGGAGAGATGACCCTGCAATTTTCAGATAACACTGCAATGCACAGTGCACACTTACAATGGGCAAGGTTTTTTCATTTGCCAATACTCACCTTTGATTTGAGTTCATTATATCTCTCTGATTCCGAGTCCACTCCAAATAATGTGAATTTATAATCCAATGCCACAAATGCTGCCTGTGTAAACCAAAGACAGAGGAAAACAAATTATAATCAACAAATGAAGCAGAAATGAAAGTCTTACAGGGTGTCAGCCTTTTTTACTCTCCATCAAAACTGCCAAATTTCCTCCAGTTCAACCAATCAAAAATATATCACTAAAACGAAGTTATTATAGGTCTTCTATTTTTAAATGATTACATACACTGAAGAATGCCCTTCCAAATCTGACGGGAGCAAACGATGACCAACTTGACTGGACTGTCCTGCTGTTTTTGTTCAGCCATATACCAGAGGAACCCACCGTTGCCATGGTGACCAATGAGATGGGAACAACATATCCACTGTGACGAAAAGAGGAGTGCAGGATAGATGCGATTACCATATTCACATCTGTAGGACAAAATCAGGCAATATGTTAGGCAAAATGGCTGTATGCTTAACCGCAAACAAAACTGAAAAACATTGGTGTGATGTGGTCGGTTGAACCATGCTGACAAGTACATGTACATGTATGGCCAAGTCCAGCCACATGTACATGTACAGGTAAGTTTAGCACATTTTACCCTCTTGTAAAACACCTTCCATATTTGGAGAAGCATTTTAATATTTCTATTTGTTCAAGTATCAGAAAATCTCATAACATATATGAATTTCTTTAGTGATGATAAATTTTGATAAAACACTTTTACCTCCAGTCACATAAACAATTACAAGTTTGTAAGAAAATTGTTTTCTAATTTTGGGGCGCATTCTAAAACTGAGATGTTGTGCACTAGGAAAAAAATCACAAAATTAGGACAAAACAGAATTTCATTGGAAGTTTGTGACGGAAACCCAAAGTTAATAAAAGTGCAAACTGAGAGCTATTTTCACTTTTTGTGAAATTTTAATGCCTCTGATAAGTCACTGGAGGTGACAAATCAACTAATCAGACATGTATGCATGTCACCTGTCAGGTATTTTTCAAAGTAGGCCACATTTAACCTAGTTAGGCACATCAACTAAAGCAGATAAAAGTTACAGTGCCAAAGAAACCACGGAAAGAGTTCCATACAGACAACACTTATTTTCCCTTAAGTTAAAATGTTATAACAGCCGTCAGAAAGAGATAACATGTCCTCAAAAGTAAAATTTGGCTAAGACACTTCAAAAGTATTTACATAGTTAGAAAACCCTTTTTTTTAAATAAAGTCCCATAGTCAAAGGTTTGTGCACAAGGCCTCAAGTGTTGTCCGTATATGGAACTCTTTCCGAAATGACAACTGAACAGGCCTTGCAGTAAAGATAATTTTGCACTAAGCCTAATAAAATACAAAAGTGGTAAGTACATGATATAGGGTACAGACTGGCGGAAACCGGCCTCATGATTCATCGCCATGCGGGTCAGCGGCCTTTCGCTTGTCGTCGGATCAATTTCGTGAGAATTTTAATCCGGCATCATTACTAACGATAAATTTGAGATATAACGCATCCACGTATGAAAAAAAAATGAAGTAATAGGCCTAGGTCTACTTACAGCAGGAAGGACTTGCGAGCAGTTAACCTACAGTGAAAGTTTCTGTGAGTTACATCACAAAGCGGTATGAAAACTGTCGTCTGCTTCACATACTTGGATGAGAAGATGTTGCGTAATCGCAAGAGGGCGCTGTTCAATCAAGAGCTGCGTTTTAATCATAAGCTTAAGATTCCAGCCTGCAAGAAGCCGTGCGGAAGCTTAGGCCACATGGAGATACCCCCCCCCCAAACACATTGCGAATTATTTTGAATTCGACATAACAGGGCATAATCAAGGTCTCAACCCCAGTGAAGCTGAGACAGGCTTACTATGGTGGCCCTTAAGAAACACTAGTTTCAAGAAAATCTATAAGATTCGAAGGTTCGCACCGTTAGTGAAAGGAGCAAATAAGATTGAAATAGCAATTCCATTCAGTAATTTTATTAGACTCTGAAAATAGAGTTTATACATATTTATATCGGAAGGATAACATCTGTCCTTACACCATTGGGAGACGGCACCAATCGTGGCAAGTTGGAGCGACAACTGCATGTCGTTAATTATAGGTTGTTATGGCCGGGCCCCCAAGCGATTGAACGGTTCGGAACATCTCAGCTTGAAGTCGACTTGAAGTACATAATCACCATGGTGATCAATAACAGATTACTTTTGTCAGAGCGGAGAGAACCAATCATACGACAATATTGGCAACAGGGATCGATGAGTCAAGGTTTCAACGCCCTCAACTTGCCAACCAACTGTGAACTGTCTGGCGATGAGATTTTACAAAAATAGATCGACAAAGCGGGACATTCAAGTCGAATGTCGATTGTTGAAAACTAATTGACTAGTGATGAAAGTCAAACTACTGTCCACACCCAAACTTGTAAAAATGTTGTTAGTTAAATTAACAAAACTATTTTCACAGTTTTGTCAAAATGTTTATAAATTACAGTAAGTGTATACTCAAAATATCGGGAAGATGCGGATCAGACTCGGATGCAGAAAGACCGCAACGGATGAAGTGAATTTTAATTCTGATGGAAAACATTCTCATAAAAAGAAGGATATTTCGCCTAACAATCGCTACTGATAATCGCATATCGCTATACCCATCGCTGGATGGGATACCCTCATTAAGGACGATTTAGACGATTTTTGATAAATAAATTGGTCACTAGTGGGACAAATGACGTCTTAGAAGGTTTGAATGCTCCCCTCCTCCTTCCTGAGCTGGTGATGATCCAAAACTTGCTATTTTTAGGTTAAACTGCCGCATATCGAGTGATTCTGAAATAGATAGAAGTAGAAGAAAAGGGTAAAGGTGAACTCATCATTTTTTCTTTATTGACCAGTCAACCATCGTGGTGTTTCTTGACCATCGTACATTTAATCGATACCAATTTCGATTCCGAATATTAATACAACGGGATAAATGAAGGCATACTTATTCGATTCTTGAGTGAAATTTACCATTTGGACCTCGGAAAGGAAAGGATTCGTCCTGACTTGCGAAATGGTTTCCCTCGCAGAGTAAGTTGCTGAAATTATGGCCTGAAATTGTTGGAGATGTTTGCTTAAGTAATGATCTGTCTTAATTTACAATGATTTCTCCAACACGCCCCTTGAATTGAAACTTCTTCACGGTTACTCGACTGCTTATTTGGCACGTCCAGTTTTCGGACACGAACGAACACACATAGGCCTAAGGTACAAGCACACTGTACACACGTACGTCACTACATCATATAGTACGTGTTGTGTAGTATTCCTACTAGTACTACTAGATAATTGTAATTCACACGCCAGGCAGTCGGCCATGACGGCCTAGTGCACCTTAGCCTCACTAGTGTGGCACAGACTCTCACTCCCGATCCATCTTTAGCCACACATCTGTATATGCAATTTCGTGTCGGCGCACTGAACATTTTTTGCGCATCCCACTTATCATCATGGGCACAATTTCTTTTGCACACGGACATGATCCTTGACCTTTCCGCTTTCTAAAAACTATTTAATTTGAATGATTTCACTCACGTTATTCAGGTATTTTCCAGACATATGTAATACACGGACTGAGCGATAAGATACTACATGTACCAATGGGCTTTTCCAAAACTTTGGCAGCAGTTTAGATGTCTTGACATGGAACAGCCGTTGAAACGATGAGGGGTCAAATGACGTAATGTTCAACGACCTTATTTTAAAGCCCGTTAGATAAGCCATTTCGAAGTTTCAATCACGCATGCGCCAACCGGCCTTGACAACCCTTTTTTGGATAAACAAACTGCACCGTTCCATAGCAATGCACATTTTGCAATGGGTAGTAAGTAAGTTTTTCGCATTCCCGTTCCGATTCACATCGAATTGCGAAAGCAAAAGGACGTGTGCCTTGAATATATAACAGGTGACACAATTCATCTAAACTGTGTCACTTTATCTGTTCATCTAGCCCTATGGCCGATTACATGACATTTGTAAACAATATGACTTTGGCACATGCTGGGCACATCATGCACACAGGACCTCTCTGCTGTAGTTGGGCCGGCCCAACTCCAGCACTCTAGTTGGGACTGATGCTATACTTGGGGCGTAACAGCGTCAATAACATCAACTGACATCAGGACATGAGACATGAATATCCTGTCATAAGAAAACGAATGAAGTCACATCCAGAGCTCGGCAGGAAAATGAAACATGATGCTCATGAAGATTGGAGGATGCCATCTTTTTTTCTCAACACTCTTGAGAAGCGGCTCTGGAGCTGCATGAGCAGCACCGTCATTTTCATACTTAATCAATAGTCCACAATTAAAATTTCAAATACATTGTAAATGTGATGTATTGAATATGATATTTAAAACCTTCCTTTTGCTGTTACAACTTACAGTCACAGCCAGTCAAAACTTCCTTCCACTTCTCCCTCTTCGGTACATAGACATACAACTATCATATGTCATTTGACTGAGTGGTCGGACAACTTGGTGCAGATTGCAGCTTTGCATAGGATTTTAATCTGTCTAGTCACACATCGTTTGCATCATTTTCTGACACTTTATTGATACTTCTGCACACTAAACAGCATGACCCATTTGTTTTAGACTTTTGCAAAATAACATTTTGTGCATAATTCTTCAATTTGTTCTTCAAATCAAGTTTTTAGCAAAACTGTAAAAATCTTGGTAAAACCTTCTCAATGTCTCTTCAGCTGTCCTGCATGTATTTGTCAAGTCTATACATGCACGCAGACGTGAAATTTATAAATTATTATCCATCTCTTGGTCCAGCATTCTACCTGCACCAAAGCAATGGGGTCAGGAGGAATTTGAATCAGACAAGCCTCAGGTGAGTGCAAGATACATGTATATTACTAATTTTTCCCCTATAAAGTAAACCTTTGACACTAGGGATGCTACTCCTGAAGTTTTATAATGACTCCTGTAACAGCTCCATGTATAAGTACATACTCCTTACTGAACTGAAGTAGAAAGGGTTGAGTTGACAAATGCCGTTGATGTTGTGTGTTTGATACCCAAGCAAAGACATAGCTTACATGTTTGGCTAATTTACTTCATACTCTTTGCCAGATTGATATAAAGCTATGTGCATGCAGTGTGTGCCAGTCAAGGGAGATTGCTGAATGGTATAATTAATCTTCTTGAGGTATTCATAGATGAAGCCCATATCTCTGTGCCTAACAGAAGGCAAAACACATTGCATGGTTTACCATGACTATTCGAAACCATCCTCATTTTAACACCAGCAGATTCAGAACTGTAAATTGTAGCCATTAGGATTAATAAGAAGTACAAAGAAATACTAAAACTTTGTTTGTATGCCAGGATTTTAAGTTGTGGTAATGTAAAGTTATTGAAGTTTCAGTTGAAAAGTAGAATTGTAAACAAACAGTCCACTCATTTTGGTTTTTTGTGTGTGTGTGTGATTTTTTTCTATAGTCATTTGCTCAAAACAAAATCAAATAGAATATAGGAAAAGACATTAACTTGGCTGCAGTATTGGACAGTGACAGTAATTGTGTTGCATTCTTGATGTTTTCAGCTAAATATTGTATCGATTTCAAGAAGCACAGCACCACCATATGGACGAAGAAAAGGATGGGTGCCCAGAACACCAATGGTGAGTTTATGAATGGCATAGTCGTGGAGGATTTGAATTCCAAGAATTATTCATAAACAAATCCAAACCAATTGATTTCAGCTGTAGCCGAAAGCAGGACAGATAAACTTAACCTATTGTAATATTTTCAATTCAGATGCACTCCCACCTTTTTTGGGAAGAGGAAAGTATCCAACTTATTTGTGTTTTTGTGTTCACTTGGAAGGATTTTGGCGATGGAGGGGCCTACCCAGAGATACCGGTGGCTCAGTTTCCGATGGACATGGGACGTACCCAGGGCAAAGGGAACTCCATAGCCAAGACTGTAGATGCAGAAGGTCACGTCAAATATGATGCCTTAGCAAGGGTTGGACATGGAAAGGACAAGGTCAGTTTCCAATTTTTTGTTCATTTATTTTTATTCATTCCTGCACAGATATTTGTCCAACCTCAATTACTTTGAATGTCATAATGGTTACTCTTTTGACCTCATTTTGTTGTTTAAGAATGTCAGATTAAAGTTAAATATAGCTTGATCTCACATGTTGGTTCCCCAAAATCGAAAAAGTAATATGAAGTTGGTTTCCCAAAATTGAATAAGTAGTAGAAAGCTTTCCAAATTCGAAAACTTGGTGTAGAGATTTTAAATTGTTTCCCATTGTTAAAAGTTGAATTGTGTGATCTTAGAATGAAGCAATTTTAAAACGAAAAGTGTAAAGATACGTGTGGATACTGAATCCAAAGAATACTTACTCCAGAAGATTCTTACACAGGTATAATGTTGGTGATAATTTGAGATAAAAAGTTTCACTTTATTGTTTTGTGGGTATGTGGTTGTTCTGTTTTTCATTCTTTTTTCTCATTGATATTTTTTTCCGTCAATTTGAAATAATTCCCTGAAAGAATCTAGTTTTTCTTTTCTTTCAGGTTATTCATTCCAAGCCCCAGGATCTGGTGCCGATACAAATCACCAATGAAAATGATCCAGATCTACAGAAACCAGACGAAGAAGAAATTGAAGATGTAAGTTGAAAGGGGAGAATTTATGATTTGAGGTGCAGCAGAGCATTTTCACTGGAGCCTATGAAACAGATGAATTCGCAAACCAAGCAATGTGAAGCTGCACTAAGAGTAGTCAAAGATAAAAATAGATTTCATTTCTGTACTTGCTGACAAAAAATCATTGCACTGGTCCCAGAAGACGAGCCACGTGTGATTTATAGAGAATGCCTTCTGAGAAGAATTTATTGAATATTTCTTTTCACCTGCATCAATTATGTTTAGCCAATTGCACCTGATATGACAGCATCAGGTGAATAGACTTCCCAGGGAGGTTAGATGGTGTAATGTGCACTGATGATGTCACATTTAGTTTACATGTGCACTTGTGTATGGAGCAGGGGAGAGGGAGGCATGATCCACTAAATACCACAAGAAAGCACACTCGTAAACACAGTGTGGCGTCATCAGTACAGCGGCCTATTGAGACAATAAATACAGACATCAAAGATCCCCTACATGTGGGCCATTCCTGCTCCTTCACCTGTACACCCTACTACATTACAATATCCCATGTAATTCAGGGGCCTTCCATTTTTCTGCAGCATTTTCATTAGCGTTCAGTGCATACATTTTTCTCTAAACCCCTTTCCTTTCATGAAGCCTACAAACTGAAAAGGACAAAATAGGATTTCTGAGCTGGGGAATTGTTGTCATTGTAACATTTTGAATGTCCCCTGACTACCTTTCAAAGCATGTGGTTTGTATGCTCATGAAAATGATGCGGGAAAAAGGGATGATGCTTTTAATACAGTGAAGACAGACTGTTGCACGTGCATGTGCAAAATCATTTTTATACTCAGACTACTGAGAAGACCAGGCAGGCTCTGGAGAAACTGGTACAGTCCAAGATCTCTGCAGCTATGCCTGTGAGGTGTGCAGAGGAAAAGGCACCAGCTCAGTATATCAGGTAAGTTTAACCTTCGACCTCATGGAGCTCACTTGTTGATTGTGCTCGAATCTGGATACAAACTGGAATGCTCATGGATTGTCCTTTGGTCATTAAAGACAACCAAAAATGTAGTTTTACTCATAGCAAAGTCATTCACTGTGCATAAGTCCACTAAGGTAAAATCAAATTTCTGGTTTGAACAAAGACCTGTCACTTTTAGTTTGCATGAATATGATCTGTACTTTGACAAATTTATGCATGCACGTTTTGTTGTGAAAAAACTAAACTCAAGTCTCTTTGGGTTGATTTGGTATTTCTTTGGTATTTCATTCCTTGTACATGTAGCGGTCAGTTTGTTGTAATAAATAATAAGGCCAAGAAAAAACAACAGTTTTGCTTCTGATAACATGCCTCTCAAAGATAGGATTGGTAGCTTGGAAACTTTTTGGGTCATTTTTTTGTGCTTATTGAATGGCATGAATGGGGATGAAAACTTCCAAAAATTGCCACAAAAAAGTGATAAAACCTTGCAATAATATTTGTAAAAATTCCTACAGTTGACAATTCATAAGAATTATGGACAATTCACATCACTATGTATGATGGCAAACTGGCCAACAATGTCTGTGTATTGCATGGTAAGCATCCATGATGCATTCAAATGGGTAGGCCAGGCGACAAACCTTGTTCCGTGGCAGGAAATTTTGTGGAAACACGCTCATTTCAAGTACGAGCTAAACAACTTCAAATTAAGCTCGTGGACCCAGAAAAAGAATGCATAGACAAGAGACCAAGTTCTTTGAATTAACTTGCAGAAATCTTCTTGCAACATTGATTTTTTATTCGACATGCAGCTGCAGGGTTGCGTGCGTGTACGGCTGATGTAGTATAATACGGCTATTTTGACTGGAATGTGTAGACTGGTTGCCACATTTACATCACATGTTCTTTAGCATGGGCACATCCTGGTGGGAACCAGCGCAGTGTTGCTGTAATACATTGAGCTTTAATTTTTAATGTTTTTCTAACTTGCCGATAAAAACTTTAGGGGTGCGCCGAAAAAGTAGGGTCATACAAGAAACCAGAAGCACAAGTATTTTTTGGTGGCCTAAATGGACTGGAGGGTTATTTGTGTTTCTTCACTTGTCTTTCATGGCTGCTTTCACTGTGAATTGTTTGTAGATACACACCATCACAGCAAGGTGTGGCATTCAACTCTGGCGCCAAGCAGCGAGTGATTCGTATGGTTGAAGTACAGAAAGATCCCATGGAACCACCCAAATTTAGGTGAGTTGGTCCAAGCATGGTATTAGTCTTTGTTTGTAGATACTGGGTAGAAAAAACATCAAATCCAGAGTGTAACCAGACTAGTTTTGGGGCTTTCATGTAACTATGTATGGATTGCAGCGAATCTCTCAATCCTCAGCAAATGACCAACAAGCAAAATGTTTTCGGTTTAGGCTACCCACCCAAACTTGCCTCAGACAGTAGCTTGATGGCAAGCCGGATATTCACTGGGCAGACAGTGCAGTTCATTACCTAATTAATTCAGGAAAAACTAACACTTCATAAACCTATCAAAAAAAATTCAAGAATAACTCACTGCTTAATTTTAATGGTCTCCTAAGTTTTTCAAAATACTTTCATTAATAACCACTTATTTCAGTAGCATAATATCTGTTTTTTTCCTGAGTCTAAACATTACAACATGATGAATCACGTCAGAACTTTGTTGCATTTGTGCATAAAATTTGGCCCGGGAATCCAGTACAGTGTATTTTTGGCCTACTTGTGAAGTCAAATTTGTTGCTCACTTTTTTTTATGCAGCATTAAGACAAGTGAGACTTTCACCTTAGTGTAGTCCAAGGTTTTCTAAGGTTTTCTGAGATGCTCTCAAATTGTCCAATTTGCTTTTAACGTCGTTTTGATCGTCACACTTCGTATCCTTTCTTTAAGGCAAGGAAACTTGAAAGATCATTCTTGGCTGTTGTAGTTTATTTCCTTGAAAATTTCAGGACAAACAAGAAGATTCCTCGTGGCCCACCATCTCCACCAGCCCCTGTGATGCATTCTCCAACAAGGAAGGTGAGTCCAAATCATAACTAATGTCCTATTTTGCATGAAAAAACCTCACACTTCTTTGTTTTTGGTGAAGCAAACCTGAAGTGCTTGAAAGAATGAATGAAAAGGTTTAATCTATACTCAACCCTTCCTACTGGGAATAACAAGGTAGACATAGTTTGCTCTCCAGTCACAAATCGGTCAAGTAACAATTTCAGTTGTGCCCAAATATGCAACATCTAGCTGGTACCATTCGCAGCTTGATAATGTCACTGATGTAAAACGTAAAAATAACAACAGTTCTTAGAGCCTGGCCCATCTTCAACTAGTTGACTGGTCAAAGGTCACAGTGCTTACTGGATATATGATCTGACCGGTGATGCATGAAGCAAAGCAAGGAAGCAGAACTTGGTTTCATTTCTTTGACCTTAAACACGTTTAGGGGTTCAGGTGACATTTATGGTCATTTCATTTAGATCCGTATAATCCATATTGTTGGTAACTGTACGTTGGTCGAAATCTACCGAATTCATAATGTTAACATTTTTTGTTTGTCTGACCTCTGTAATTCTCTTTATTGATGCTCTAAGATTTTTCCTTTTTTACGCTTCAGGTCACTGTGAAGGAACAGCAAGAATGGAAGATTCCTCCTTGCATATCCAACTGGAAAAACGCCAAGGTAATTTGAAAACACTAATTACTCTTTTTGCATTATCTTAATGGGTATTGGGGTAAATTTTCAATAAAGGTTTTGGCAGCACTATTTTCTGTAGAGTGAAGTTACTTCTTCCTTTGACACAAAGCTCCTCATTATATCTTATTGGTAACAGGGCTACACTATCCCACTCGACAAGCGACTGGCAGCGGATGGCCGTGGGTTACAGAATCCTCAGATCAACGAGAATTTCCCCAAGTTGGCTGAAGCCTTGTACATTGCTGACAGAAAGGTAAAAAACACTCTCTAGCCGTGTCACAAAATGGCTTCCAGAGCTACAGCTAGGTATATTGTCTATGCGTCTCCATGCATTTCCAATGGAGTGAAGACCTAGACCTAGCTCTAGACAAGAGATTCGGATGCAGCCTCTGTTGTACATAACATGTATCCAAAAAACAAGTTTGTCAGGCTGAAAGTCACTTCCCTGTGACCCTTGTTACCTCTCGTGCGTTCATTGTCAGAACACATTTCTAACTTTCACCTCTTCAGAGAGAGCAAATTGTTGTTTGCTGTCTGTCACAACTAGCTCAAAATGTTGACACCTGGCTCCCAGTGCACATTAGACACTGAGACAGTTTCAAGGAAACTTTACCAAGTGTGTTAACCTCACTGACCCGAAACCTTTTTTAACTCCACGGCAAACATTACAGTTTTTGTCTAAGAGCTTATCAAGGTCTATGATTAGTTTTGCAAGCAGGAGAATAAAGCATACAATAATTCAAACATTGATGTTTTCAAGCACCTTACATTGGTATTGTAAGTCCACTACTCCGAGTTCAAGTCCAACTCTGAATCTAAATATTCCAAGTTTGAGTTCAGGTCTGAAAAACCAAAATGTATGGCCAGGACAGAAATGTAAGCTTAAATTTGTGACGTGGATTGCATTCGGGTCACCAGCTAGGAAAAGTTTTCAGAATGTTTTGTAAGAACAATTCTTGACAGGTTGGAAACAATACAGAAATATTGCTTTGGTTTCTTCTTATACCAGACTTAGGCCAGGTCTTTGAGTCGTTTGGCTCAGGCTCAGCCCTGATACATTCAGTGTATAATTTGAAGTGGCTAAATTATGAATGATTTAACCAACAGGCTCGTGAGGCAGTAGAGATGCGTGCCACCATGGAGCGAAAGCTGGCTACCAAGGAGAAGGAGAAACATGAGGAGAACCTGCGTAACCTGGCTCAGAAAGCCAGAGAAGACCGTGCTGGGATCAGAACACAAGCAGGTGGGTGTGGTCTGGGGGGGGGAGTGTCGAGGAAAGCCATACACATGTGGCTGAAAGAATTTGGGTGGAGTGCATTGAGGACATTAAACAGACACCAAAAAGATCTGTTTTTTAAAAGTGCTCAGTTGAGAATTGAGCTGAGCAAAGGATAATATTTGCTTAGCAAAAATGATGTGATGAGCAGTATTGTTGAACTCTGTTCTACTGATTTTCACTTAGCATATAAATTGTCTCAACGTTTTCTTTTGCAATCCAAGGAAGTAACAAAAGACCATAGCATAAGCATGTTTTCTTGTTTAACTCTAACCACCGTACACCCTTTACATTCCCAAAGGAGTTTGGGTAAACTTTGGCAGGATTAACAAAACGTATGACCCAGTCATAAGTACTTTTTGTGGAGCTTGATGGCACTTCAAAGTGTGATACAAATACCATGGCATTGGTTTCCTGCACAGTGGAAGATCTAGAGTGTCCAAGGAGGTGGTCTCTAACTACTTTTACTAGAAATTTGTAGGCAAGTAGGGTTAATGAAGCTAGTAAGCAAATAGTGTTATTCTCCTAATTGATGCGCTAACAGATAAAAAGTTAAAAAAACCAGTGATATTCATTATACAGCATTAAGGCCGAGTTTCACACTTTCCATGATACCCTGACCTGTATTGGCTTCCACTTTTGGCTGTCGCATAACATAAGGACATTTTATATGACAATGGTGACTTTAATATGACAGTTAATTGTTTACCATGTGGTGTTACTAAAAAAAAAAATGAAACTGTGAATCAGGATGCAGTCACTTTTGAATTCCATTTAATCACTGGCTGCACTTATTTTACCCTATCAGAGGCTGATGATGAAGCAAGAGAAAGAGACAAGATTCGTGAAGACCGACACCGTGAGCGACAGAGGGATCGTAACATCAGTCGAGCTGCCCCTGAAAGACGGTAAGAGGAACTTGGCCTCCACTTTTGTCCCACTCTAACAGAATCCAGACAGTTATATTTCATCATTTCTGTCCAGTGATCTTTTGCTGCTGAGTTTTCCATACAGAAGGTTAGGAGTTCTTGGGGTGGTATTTTATGATGCAACTAAGCCCCGAATTAATTGTCAACAGAAACTTTGCTCATTTTGTAGAGAATAAGCAGGAACCATAGCAACGAGTTCACCAATTTCAAGGGCAGAATTTGTCCAAAAAATCTCACAACGAAAAGCTCCCTTCATACATATGCATTATTACTTCTTTACCAAGTAATGTGCATTCCTTGAAAACAAACGTGCAATAAAAGTGCAACTGTCCATCAGTCAGATAGCACTTGATTGTCAGCTACTAAGCACATGTGTACTTTTTTACCTTGTTATTTCAGAGCCAAGTTTGACAAGCAGAAAGAGAGAGACATCAGTGAGAAGATTGCCCTTGGTTTGCCTAATGCTGGAGGTCGAGCTGATGATATGCAGCATGACCATAGACTCTACAACACGTCCAAGGTAATTGCTTGTCTTTCCTCAATAGACAGAAAAGTGAGACAAGTCAGTTGTTTAGAGCTGCTGTGAATGGACGATAACTTTTGTAGCGAATTGAGATTGTCCAAACTATTTTCTGAAATCACTCTATCCTCATGTTCCCTTTATTCTCTCTTCTAATTAAATCAAGCTTTGGCTTTTAACAACATGTAGAAGAAGTGATTTGCTGCAGTAAACGACAAATAATAAAATGTTTTGTGCCAAAATTCACCCCACTTAATACCTTCAAATGTTCAAAAGTTTTAAAAAATGATGTATTTAATCACTTCCTGCCAGACGACCCGTTTTCGGGTACATAGGCTTTATATGCAGAGCGGGGGAGCCCAGAACTGGGACAAGAGTTGGGCCTTATAACAAAAGACCATGCTCAGCACAAAAGACTGAGCTGCTGGGCATTACAGACATTTTTTCGCTCTCAATAGTGGAGATAATCCAGCCTTGTTTTGAAACAGTATACCATGGTTTGAGGCATTGAGAGCGAGCGGATTACCACCGGGGACAAAAGCTCTCCACCACCACAGTGATGAGCCACACAGCACCCCTGCACGCTAATCTGGCCCCTATTGAAAAGAGGTCAGCAGTGCACTGTGCTGGTTTCGGGAACAAAAGAATCTTATGTAACACCGCACAATCTGGGCTCTTTTTCCAAGGCTGCAGGCCTGGCTGAAATATTCAGGAGTCAATGAATTTTACCTGTCAGCTTTAGAATAGTGCCCAAAGAATCCTTCATTTTGGTATAAACGGCCATTAAATGAAATGATGAATTTTTGAAGAATTTTGAAAACGGAAAATCATGAAAATGACCCAGCATCATGTCCTGCTCAAGAAAAATCCACCCGGCAGCAAGTGGTTAAGGTTTACATTTTAACTTATAATAATAATTTAAACAAAATCATGCCAATTGTGCCGGGGAGAGAGTTTAATGCACTTTCCACAGTTTTGATGTAAACCATCTGCAATGGTGAAAAACATTTTTAGGTGGCCTACAACCCAAATTCAGTTACCAGACAAATGGGGCCCCCTGTATCATGGCATTATGTACAATTACTATAACTGGTAAGCCAGCATCACAGTTTGCTTAATGCTGCAGGATATATCTGCTTAAGACAAATAGGTTAGTTACCAGCTCACACATGTGATATATATTGTGGGTGACTGGTTCTCATGTGGGTTTTTCTTGGCACATAAATATGCTGTCGATCCAGCCAAATGTCTGGTCTAACTCATGTGATATCCAATGGTTATATATCTCTGTTTTTCTCTCTATGTATCACAGGGTCTGAGCAGTGGATTTGCAGGGGGTGATGACGAATCTTACAATGTGTACAGCGAACCGTGGCGTAAGGACCAGAACATGGCCAGTAGCTTGTATAGGCCCAGCAAGAATGCCGACAAAGACGTGTATGGGGATGACCTAGATACCCTCATCAAACAGAAGAGGTAGGCCTTGCTTTGGGGGTAGGAGGTTGGTTATAGAAACAGATCAGAGGACTGGAATTTCTAAAAAATGTCTTTCTGCAGTAGTTGAAACTTTTTCCTCTTTTAGACCAAGGAGACATTTCTCAATGCTCACTTATGAAATGTTTCTGGGTAGTTCACGCTATGACAACAAATTCAGATAATTATAAAAAGAAACATATTTTAGTGTTATTTCTCGTTTGTCATTTAATGAGACCGTTTATTGATATTTTGCAGAGGAGTCAATTACTTGATTTTATTATCCGTGCATTTTCCTCATATCATCCAGGTTTGTTCCTGACAAGGATTTCAGCGGCACTGATCACAGTCGTCGTCGCAGCGGTCCTGTCCAGTTTGAACGAGAGGAAGAAGAGGATCCCTTCGGTCTGGATAAGTTCTTGAAGGATGCCAAGAAAGCTGGAAAACGACCGGCAGAGGGAGGCAAGTCACGTGATCATGACGACCACGACCGAAGTGGCAAGAGAAGAAAGGATTTCTAAGCGGCATCAAATCTGATATTTGTCATGAAGCAAAGGGAAAACAAGGGCAAAGAATTTTTTTGTTTTTGCTTTTTCCACTGTCCTGTATTTACTTGAGTACATGCAAATCAATTTTTGAAAACATTTGTATTCACACGTACCAATGCAGTCAGTGATTGATGGTCCAGAGGATTTGTCAGCTAAGAACTGGAGGACCCTTGAGTGGAAATTCAAAGTTCTGCTCTTTTCCTGATTTGCTAGTTTGCAGAGGGTAAATAGTCAGAACCAGAAGTTTCAGTGATTGATTAGACGCTCATTGCAAATTTATCATTTTTGATTAAGTAAGATGCAAAACAACAATACCATTTTTTCAATATTGTTTCATGTCCTTACTACGTTATATCCAACAAGAATGAGACTGAGGGGCCCCCCAAACATGTCCAATCGCTATACACTATTGTTACCTAACACATCCCCCCTAGATGTCTGAAAAGAATTCCTGAGATTCCAGTGAGACAATGACCAACACAAAGCATGGGGGTTCTCTCGGCCACATATCTTGCTTCATTTGTACTGCATACCTGCTAGTGTAATTGCAAGGGAGATCTGTTCCCATTCACATTACCATTTATTTTCATGTCGTACATTTTTCACTGGATTAGAAAGCAAGGAATGTTTTCTAGGGCCGGCTCTTCTAGGATGCTGACAAATGAAATTATTAAGCTTTTTTTTACTTTTGTCCTTAGATGAAATAAAGGGTAGGTTTTGAAAAATCTTCATTTACAGCAGTGTGATTTGGCTTTCAAGAATTTGATTAGTTTTATTTCTCTCATTACAAAAAAAAATCGTGATTTTATATAAGATCCGTTCTCCAATGAAAATGTGTTGTGCATCTTTTATTATAAATAGTGGTATGACATGTACATAAGCATGACCTTTAGTTTGCCTAACATGAAACCATTTGGGAATATTCTAAAACAATCATTTTAGTTCTGTCAATTGTTCGTTTAAGTTGACTTTGTTTTGCAGTGATTTGTATATGCTAATTCCTTATTAAGTAACATCAGTGAAGAAAATGTTACAGTCCAGATTAATATGGAGTAGCCTGAAGTGCTGTAAGTTTGAAATCTCGGAATCGATTGTTTACTTAAATATAAAACTCTAAAGGGAACACAGAGATGACATTTAAGGATGACACCACACCTTCATCTTGACAGCCAACTCAATCCATTTTTGCTAACAATTATGTGTAAATGCTTTTCTTGTGACAAATAAAAGCTCCAACTCTATTATCTGGTGTTGTCAGTGTTATCAATCAGTAGAAGTTTTAAAGTCCTGTGCTGCCCGACCGATCATGAAATTTGGAAAGAGCTTGATTTTTTTTTTCTTTTCACTGAAAACCTAGTTACTTACTCTTCAGTATAAAAGGTAACATCTCCTGGCCCTAACATACGTGTGTATTAGGCATGTTATTCTGATAAATATTCAGCGTATTGCCTTTGAACACGATACAAACATACCCAAACACTCTTACCCAAGGTCCCACTAGTACAAGATTTATTCAGAATGATACTTTGAAATAAGTGCCCGTGAAAATGTACATGTATTGTGAACAATTAATGAAAGCATTAAAACACACGGGGAAAATTTCAGTTGTGTTGGTGCGATGTTTTTCTCAAGAAAAGGCTTGCTCTCTTTGTTTTTAAGAACGAAGTGCAAAGATAAAAACTGCTTTGTGAGGCCGCGTCCAAATGGCTAAAGGTTTCTTCGGTAGTTGACCTTGCATCAAGACTGGATTGAGACCTCTTGCGTTTCTACCCGTTTAGCTATTTCATAAGTATATGGGGTTTCCAAATGCCGGTCTCTTATCCGTCACAGGATTCTTTCCTGATAACAGAATCGCCCTGAGGACCCCTCCTCTTAGAGTAGACCCCTTTTTAAACTGACAGTGAAATTTTATGTGTCTTAGTGAAATAACTTTTAATAAGAGCTTAAAACACTAGTTAAAAAAAAGGAGGAAAAAATCTGCATGTGCAACAAAGCCATGATTTGAAAACCCCGCATATCCTCGTATGGTACGTACTGTGTACATGCACGTCACGCGTGTACAGCGAGTTATCAGCTGTCTTTTTCACGCTCGCTTGAATGTGTGGTGCATGGTGTGGGCGGGGAACAGACTGGACGAAGCTCGCCGGCTTCCTCAAAAATCCATAGGCTAGTCCCTTCTTTTGAGTTTTCACTAGTTTTCTGACCGTTGAACACTCAGTGCGACAGGATAAGAAAAGGCTGGAGGAACGGAAGAGGTAAATGGTGAGTGTTTGAGTGTCAAAACTGTTGTAGAATACGAGATTGTAGGTAAGGGGAAAAATCGTCGGACCGTCACCCGGTCAGCTAAATGACGTGTCCAGTCTGAAGATCAAATTCTGATCTGAAAGACAAACACATTATCCACTCGAACATGTCAAAGTGAAATGGTATTTACTGGGAGCTATTTAAACTGTCTTTCTTCTCTCTGGTTTACAGAAGGCACGATACACCCCTTGTTTCAATAATTACAAAGCAAACATGGTGTTTCTCCGTGGAGCAACCACCACGATGCAGAAGCCGGAGTGCGAAGTGGACAAAAACGGAGCGGTAGCCGGTGTGAAGATGGCGAACGGGTTCGACGGCTGCAGCTCAGCGGTGAGGAATGGAGCAGTGCACGGTATGATGATGGCCAACGGCAATGGGGTGCACAACGCTGGGCTGACCAACACCTATGCTGTATGTAATGGCAAGATGAATGGCTATGCCAAGACTGAGAGTGTAAAACCAAATGGCACAGCAGTGAGACAGGTAAGGCCCATATTAAGAAAATTAAAATAGGCCTAACATTTGCTACTGTAAAGTATTTTCCTCCACAGCAGGCTTCTGTTTTAAAAACAGGTATAATTAACAGTGTGCACGGGATAGATGTTTTTGTAAAAATATATTTGATAAAGCTTGTTTCAAAAATTACAATCAGGCAATGCAGGTTGTTGATCAAGTGAGAGTATTTGAGAAATGTACCACTTAAATATTAGTAACAAGTTAAAACTTACATTTGACTAGCCCAGGTTGGACAACGTCCACATTGCATTGCGTTAGTTGCAATGCAGTGTAGACGTTGGCCAACCTGGGCTAACATTTGACAGACTTTTTTATAATTATCATTTGAAACAGACATGACAGAGTGATGTTGCGTTTGAGAAAATCCTCCTTCAACTCTGTAGAGTTTTCATTTGCGCAGTCGGCATGATGTCACTGTGGCCTTTTAATACACCTCAAAGGTATAAAATTCCCCTTCGTGCTATTTGATGCAATACAGAAATGCACTGAAGTTCCAGGATGTCCGACCACAAGAAAATGTAGAATGCCTGAAGATTTACCACTTTTTTTAACACAGCTTGTTTATCAGATTTAAAAATGTCCTACATGTACCCTTGAAATTCTTTTTAATTGGTCAAATATTTATTTCTCATACACGTATGCAAGTTCTGTATTTGTACATTTATAAAAAGCATGTTTTCCATTTGTTGAACATGATAAATGCTTGGGTTGCTGTAATGAATATTCATGTTGTGGCAGTTGTGCTCAGTTGCTACATTAGCCATGTTGCATGCTATTTATATCATCCAGCCAATAAGAGTTTCATAGAGGAAAGTAAGGCTAGGTAGGTTTGACTACAAAGATTCAAAGTTTATTTTGGTAACTCTGAGCATACAGCAGAAGTATGTCTTTTCCAGTCATGCCAGTTGCTGAAACAAAAGAAAAAAGGACACTGCCATTAAAGGATAACATTTTAACATAAAATCTTGCAAATTCTTTTTTTATGTCTATATGGCTGCGTGCTTGGGTTCTAATGATAGAGAAGTGTAACACAGTGAATTTTATTGGTCGCAAATTGATCACGCGATATGCTACAAGCACGCATGTACCGGTATCATTCATGCATCAAGAGCTCTGGCAATGTTACCGGGCCACAAAAAATGATGAATGACAGTGACCTTTCCTACAGTTGATGTGTAGTATCTATTGCATTATACACAATGTAATAGTGTAATCTTTGGTACAAGAGTGGATAACCACGGTGGTACTACACGCCAAGTAGGAGATGTGCTCTGTGTTGAGACATTGAAGCACTGTGTCCGTTCGCATGTGCTACTCTCTTCACTCTGACTGTGACAGAGACCTGTGGGTTATTGAACTTCAGTCCGTGCACCCAGTTCATGGGTGTATGCTCTGATCACTGTATCTGCTGGATCATCATTGCTGTTGAATACTCATGCCATTGTCTCTTCTTTTCTGCTCTTCAATCTTTGTTATAAATCCCTCACCCCCCCAAAAAACCGCATAAAACATAGTTCAACAAAGGATATCACTATCAATAATTTTCCTTGGAATTTAGTATCCAATTTACTGTTCACGTGTCTGAATGTTTTAATTGATCTTGCAATAAAATATATGTGCGTATCCATGTACATGTATACGAACTCAACTACATGGCGTAACAGAAATGTACACATACATGCATGTGGCGTAATTGGTTCGTCAACTGTGCAGCGCAGGGGATTGTCAAAATTTATGCAGTTTCGCTTTTTAATTCACTGAAATTGTTATTAATGAACTAATTTTCTGGATCAAGAAGAAAAGAAACAACAATCTTGCCTTCATTACTTCATTTCAAATTGTTACCACGAGCAAATTTGATTCAAGGAGTCTGAAGAAAATGCCCTAGACATACCTCACCACAGAGCATGCAGGATCCAAAATTTCCTAGGGACCCGCTCAAGGCCCCCGACCCCACACCATAATGACTTTGCGCTCCACGCTTGCATTGTGTGCTGCCCTGCTGTAATTTTAGGCTTAAGAGAACACTGAAGGTTATTTCATAAAACAGCAGGAAAGCTGGGAATGTTTGTTGTTCCTGTACTCCATGAAGTGATCATTAGCAAGGCGCATTAAAGAGCCTTAGTGCACCTCCTAATGGGTTTTGTAAGACCGAATTCCCTCGGCATCCATACAACCACTGAACAGGTACAGTGCTACCCAGTACCACACTGGCTTGTTGACTCTGCTAAAATCTAACAATGGGGCTTATCGTTGACAGATGGCAAGGGAAAAATCCAGAATTAATCAAATAACAGCAAAAACAGGCATTAAAATGAGCAGACTTAGGGCAGTGCAGAATGTAAGCTGACCGCAGCTAATCTGTTACAAAATGATTATGTACCAGTATCACATCAGTCATATTGCATAGACTCTAATCCCTTCTGCGGTTTGGTCTCATCACACCGTGGAGATACATGTACATGTACCAGTAGCGTGCTTTTGTTGTTGAGTAACACTTTCCAGGATTTTTATACAGGTGTAGAAAACATGATTGTAAATTAATTTTGATAATACATGTACATGTATATTAAGGATGGGCTGATACTTTCATACCAGTACATGTACATCACTATGGACACGTACGTATGTTACATACATGGACATGTACACTGTGCATGTACATGTACATCCTGGTCTGCAGTTTCAATGAATTATTTATGTGAAAACACCTTCATCCGCAGCAAAATCATGTCTTTTTCTCCAACAAAGCCTTTTTCCAATCAGCTTTTGCTCACTTCTTCAGCAGAATGTAATCCTCAGCTTTTACTATGGGAAGACTAGAAACCCTGTTTTGCAGCGTCTTAGTCGTCCCCACATAATGAGATCAGACCACAATACCTGTACATGTATGCATGAATATGTCCTTATGTAATGGAAAACGACTATAGTCTGAGGCCTTTTGTTTGAAGACTTGACTGTTCTCTGCATTTACAGGCTGGGCAGGATGTGTCTTGTGTCTTCTGAAACACATGTGGCTTAGTCTTGTATTGGCTTACATGTACATGTATGTGCCTTCAGGCTGTCCTCTGCTCTGCATTCTGAGGACCAGTGGGGTTTTCTGTGCTACATGCACATGTACATGTAGTTGACACACATGAAATGTGTAAATGGAAGGGATGAAGAGGAGAGCACTGCCCTTATTTAAAACAAAAAGACTCCCCCCCCCAAAAAAAGTTATAATTTTTATGCAAGACTACTTTTCATTTCTCAAATTCCTTATGACAATACTAAGAAAAATGATTCTATGTTGTACATGTAGACAAGAGTATTTTTACCATTGATGTGCAATTCACGAACGGTGTCTTTTCCAACCTATATGTACATGTGTGTGTACCGACAAGCCAGAGTTAGGTAAAATTGATTGCTTCATGATGTACACTAAAATTTTTGAGAAAACGTGCTTTGATGCTGGTATCAGTCTAAATGCAGATGAGAAATGGGTTGTAGCGGTGTTCATTCTTGAAGTGGCTGTTTTACCTTTGATGAGAATTCAGACTGCCTTTGTCAATGAAAATTTGTTCCAAGGAGGTGATGGTTGACATCGCATTCAATATGATCAATTTGTTTTAAATATTGAACTCATACAATGTACCTTTCCTTTTTCGTTTTTTTTTCTCATAATCTTTGGGGACATGTACTTTGTCAGAAACATACATGTACATGTATGTGTAGCATGCCAGAGTGTGACAAATGCAGGCAAATGGTCCAAGGGAAAGAATTCCATATACAGATGCCACTAATTTTTCCCTGATGTGACGCACGGCCGTCCAAATGCAGTAAAATGTCAAATTTAGCAATAAAAATATTATGTGTTTACTCAGAAAGTACAATTTTTCAGGCTGGTGTCATAGAGTTTGTTTCTGCATTCAATTGGGGACCCTTAACAATAGAGGACAATAAGGTCCCCGATTGACAGCTATGTACAAAACATATGAGTGGTCTTCTAAAAAAGTTAAAGTACAAACAAAAGAGGAACAATAGGGGGTCCCCAGTTGCAGGCAAATACACACTTGCATGGGTTTGTGGACAGTGTCAAGCGGTGTCCGTACATGAAATTCTTTCCAGTCCAAGCTTTCAAAAACAACAAATTATACATGTACATAACTACCGGTACATGTACATGTAAGTATGGTACATGTACATGTACCTACTCTATAATGGGTAACATCATTTATTATTTATGAAGTACTGAGCCTTCAAGTTTGAACCCCCCCTTCATTCTTTAATGTATAATGGGAGTGAGGGAGGGTAACATCTGGAAAGAATGGGTAAAGAAGCTCCTGTACCATCTTGGAGCTTGCTTACAGATTGCAAAATAGTGTGATGACCTGGGGGATGATTTGAAAAAGCAATGGCATTCTTGAAGTCTTGTGACCTGTCAACTTCAGTTAAGCTTTTTGTTGTGTTTTCTGTCGTTGTGGAAATATATTATACATGTATTATGTGTTCCTTGTACATCAGTGCAGATCCAGGGGGCCCAATGGGGCTAACCCTCAAATGAAAAGAACACAAAATATTTTTTCTTAAGTAATGAAAAAAAGTAATGGGGGGACTTCCTTTCCTTCCCATATGGATGTAGGTACCAGGTACTCTGAAAAAACAATGAAACTTCAATTGTTTCCCCTCCCCTAAAAAGCCACCCTTGTACAAAACTGTAGTTGCGGGAAGTCTGTGCTCAACTGTAGAGTTGTATGGCATTGGAGAATGTGAATTGTATAACATTGGATGCGAAGCCAGGCATTTAAGAAGAGGACAACTAGGAATGAACTGAGACAGGTGTGACACCTGATGTCATTATTACATGTACATGTATGTCCAGTGAGGAAAGGAGTGTAAGGATTTTGATTCATGTACATGTACATGGGTGTGTTATAAAAACAGACCAACTTCGTTTTATTGTTTATACAAATTTAATATTAGCAGTCCTACATTTTGCTTTTTAAAAACCAAAACTAGTGAAACTGAGTTCTTTTACATGTAGAAAAACTTTTATGTTTAAAAACTGTTATGAGTCTGGAAGCATTATGGATAATATTGGAAACAGATACTGTATGTTACAGGGCATTGAAAAAGGCTTCTTCAAGAAAAAAGTACTCTTTACATTCACCGCAGTGTGCAAGTATTGTACATGTACAACAAAAGTGCTTTTGTGCTTTACTGTTCTAGGTTTAAGCCTGGTTTCCATTATGGTCGTTTGTAACGCAAACGGTCCGCAAGACTTGAAAACGCAGACACGAACGGAAGAGACGGTGTATGACATCATTCCGCCCAAAAATTTAAACCAAATGGTGTCTGAAACTCCGTGATTTTTTTTTGTAAAATACCCTTTTAGATTGACTGTACGTTGTCTTGATGCCAATCTGTACTCCAGTTTCATATATTTTTGGTGATAATCAGCTATTTAGTCGATCATGAGGGTGTAATACATGTACGGTATTTATGCATTAAGGAGAAAAATGGGCAAAAATTCATGGAACTAAGAAAGAGGACATCGTTGCGCGCCGGTCATGTCAGCATGCATGTTTGTATACAGATACCACGGCTACTCAATGCAGACAGTTGGTAAAGTTGAACCCACCTCAACTTTGCCGATGGTTCACAGGCTGGTCTGCGTTTGTCTACGTTGTCGGCAACACAAATATTTGACATGTTTCCAAATGTCCCCATTGCAGTTTGCGCCTTGATTGCGTTGCCCTCTGCATTTAAGTCGCTATGGAAACCAGGCTTATAAATGCATGTACCGTGCATTACAAAGTACATGTAAGTAGAGTGGCCAAGATCTATTAAACCAGGATTCCAAATTTTGGGGGTCAGTTGTTCTTTTGGCTTTTGTGCAAGTTGCAGGAAAACCATTGATGTGCTAAGATTCTTTTCATATTTTTTCTTGGTCATATTTTTGCTCCCCATATCGCAACTGAAATTTGGCACTTTTGGCAGTTTGAAATCAAGACAACATCCTCACAAGACTTGTAAAAAGCTACATGTACATGTATCAATGGTTAATTCTTTGAGGGCAATACATACATGTATATCTCCAAAACCACAAGTTCTTGTAAATTTGGAGGTTTTTTAGTTTGTAGTTCTTGCTGTGGCTTTTTGTTGGAAAACCTGCCATGGAAACATACATGTGCATGTATCTCATTGGTCAAGATCCATGCTCTTTTTGCAAGTTTGCTAGGACCATGACAAGCTTTTTCTTTATGGCTGCATCCCCTTAACTCCCTGCTGTCACACTCCCTTTTTATTGCTTCTTCAATTTGATGTGCATTTAGCATATTGGTACATGTTGTCAGACATGTCATTACGCACCTGTCCAGTGTCCACTGCTTCTACATGTACAGGTACTGTACGTGTTTGAACTTACCACCTGGTTCAGTTTATCTCAGTGTTCTACACCAAAGAATAACCTCTGGTAACATGTCATGCATACAGTATGCATTTGCTGTATTTATTCCAACCTTGATGGAATTGTGTGCAATTAGGACATTTTTATATTGATTGTTCCTCTTTACTGTCCTAACTTTACATGTAAAAGAGAAAGAAAAACTGGTGATGTAAAAATTCATTTTCAATACTAATTTGTAATTTCTTAATATGAAGTAGACATTTTCCCACTGCGAATATGGTTTTGCATTGCCCTGGCATACATGTACCAGTATTTTTTACGGGAAATGAAAGCAGAGGGTGCTGTGTACATAAGAATCGACACCAAGGGTTCAATGTGTGATTTAACAACATTCAGCAGTGTTGACTTTTACAAAAACAAAATGCATAATTTTTCACCTGAACTAAAGCAGTCTAACTTCTTAAATACATTGTAGAGAAAAAAGAGATGAAAACATACAGTAAGCAAGAATGTTAATCAAATTTAAAGTAATTTACATGTACATGTGCATAGGGTACTGTACCCTTGTATTGCCTAAATATGGTTAATTCCTGAAATTAGGGGTCCAAACGTGTGACATATTCGTGCCCCTCTTACCTCTGACCCTTGTTATTTGACATGGAACTATCAACATAATTGATTTCAAACTATTAGTATTTGTTCAAGGCAGGTAAGTTGCATAATTCATTAATCTTGGAAATTAGAAAATGTGTTTTGAACTTACAAAATCATATGTCCGATGAAACAAGGACACAAAAAAATGGACCCCTAATTTCTGGAATTACCCACATAATCTTATCATTTGATCAAGTAATGTACATGTATTCGTCTATCATGTACTGGTACATTTACATGTTTATTGGCCATATAAATCTGTATATGTACATGTTCCTATCATTTGGTAAAACACCGGTATCTACCACTATGTGCATAAGCTTAGGGGAAACCCACGATATTGTTTGCATGGTTTGATGATTCATTAGTCGGGTGTCATGCCCGAGGGGCCTTAATGCGACTGACACCTCCCCCCCACACACACACACACACACATGCAGGTGCACATATTCTGATTGAATCAGGGTCTCTTTATCATAATTTGCCCATGTGGCTTACCCAAGGCAGATTGGAGATGTCACTGCTTCAGTTACTGTGCATAGACTTGATTTTGAGTCATCAGGCTCACTGATTATTTTGAATAATATATAATATAGGGGTAAAAAGACAATATCAAGTGTTATTGTATTTTATGCAGTGTCAGGTTCATTCACTGTGTTGTTAAGGAAGACATGTTTTTATTTTTGAGAGGTGCAGTAGTTGAGACAATAATGGAGAAAAGTCTTGCATCTCTGAGCAGCTACATGTACATGTACATAGTATAAAGTGTAAACACTTCAAGGCAAATACAGTCCATGTACATGGGCAAATGTTTTGTTTTTGTAAGGTACATGTAGTTGTGATAATCATGGAGAAAAAGTCTTGCATCTCTGAGCAGTATGCGGCATGTAGGTTTAAAATGTACACACTTCAAGACAAATACATGGGCAAAGAGATCAAACTACGGTACATGTAATATTTTAGACGTTTGTGGACAGTCACACCAAGGAAATGGAATTGGACAGAGGCTGAGTGGGTGAACAGATAACAGATTGCAAAGAGTAACAACATGGATGGAGACAGAGGGATGACATGACCAGCAAAGAGAGAGTAAACCCCATCCTGAAATGAAGGAATGTTACAAGGAAATGCATGTGGAGAGCCACGTAAACAAAACAAGCATAATCGTGCTGAGACTTCTGTTCGGCAGTGAGTTGTTGGATTCACTCATGATGAGTGTCTCTGTTGTCTTTTGCAAGATCAAGATACCGGTGGTCTTGCAGACAAGCAGTTTTTGTATGGTTTTCCAAACCTCAGGCTTAATCTTGTTTACGAGCACATATTTGTATTTGGGAAGCTCATGACAAACTCTTACAAGATACATGTACCATTGACAGTATTTGCTGAGCTTAAATGTTGTTAGTTGTGTTTACTTACTTGAAAAGATCCTTGAAGATGAATGAATTATGTAATCTGTCAATAAGGAAAAGGATTAACATACTGCGCAGTTTACAAACTGCTGCATGCACTGGTACATTTGTCCCTGTGATTGGACCACCACTGCACGTACTGGTTCATGTATCTCTGTGGAGACCATTTGAAAATCAATAACATGGATTACCCATTTTATTTGGAGTGCCTCTTTATGAATTATTAACGTACATGTAGTCATTTATTCAGGCTTGCAACATGAAGGAGAAAAATCTCTATGCCTGTAGATTAACATACATGTAAGTAATGCTACCTCAAAGAGGAAGATGCATTGTGTCTCGTTGTTTGATGAGTTTGTTCTCAACTTTGCACAGCATTCATTTTGAAATCTTTAAAACTTGTAGACTTCCTGAGGAAGTGTTTGAAACTTGCCAGTTAAATAAGAAAAATGTAAAATGAAAATACAGGCAAGTGTAATCAGAATTTTGAAAGAGAGGAAATCAAATGTAAAACAAAATCGTAAGTGAAAGAAAAAACAGCACAACAAAGACATACATGTAGCATGTAGCCATTGGTGTGTGCTTTGGACTGATTTGATCAACCCTAAACCTGTCAAAACTCGTTTCTTTAGTACTTTGGTTTCATTACTTACCACATTTCTGGCCATTGTTTAATGTAGAAGTTCTAAGGTAGTTTGCATTAGCAGTGTTGATATAAAGCATAAATGAAATTTTGAAGAACAGAAATTTTATTAAAGTCACCATTAAAGTTGTTTAACTGTGGTTTAAATTCCTGTAGCCAAATTACATGTTTACAGTGAACATGGCCGATACTGTTCATGTATTTTTTGTTGTGGGTTGCTGTAATATTTGACACAACTACATGTAGAAAGTGACAGAAGACTAGAAGAGTGACCATCATTGAGGAGTGTTGGTGCTCTACAAATATCAGTCTCATTGTTGATCTGCTAAAAGCTGAGGAATACCTCCCTTTAAATGGTTTCCCCAATTTGTTATGATCTGATCTGCAGAGGCCAAGGGAAAGCAAGTTTGAAGAGGTTTTTGAAGAGACCCCCTTGCATGTTGCCGTCATCACCTACTTCGGCTTCCTGGTTCTCATTCTGGTGGGCTACATCAAGGAGCATCTCTGGAGACTGGGAATCATGAAGATGCCTGGTGCTCAGGAGTCACCCAAGCTCAAAGTATGTGGATTTATTTTATCACTTGTGCTGGGTTTGGACATTTTAATCTAAATTAAAAAGGAACCTCTATAAGACAACAAAAAAGGTCACATACAAGTACATACGTGTGAGTGTTGCTGACCAGGGTAATACTGTAAGTACATGTAGTTACTGAAAAGACTGAAAAATGTCTTTAAAACATGTACATCTACATGTATACAGTTTTGTAGTGGTAGATACTAACCCTAGCCCCCTAGGGTGTATGTAAAATTATATTGAAATTGGAGGACTTGGGACTGTTACTGTTGATAGGCCGGCTTTAGTTTAGCATGAACTTTGAACAGGCAACTAAATTTTTATGCATCTATTATCCTGGATAGATTTGTATACTGACAGTGCACTTGGATAGAGACTTTACATGTACCGGTAGGTTTATTGGGAACAAATTAACTGACAAAAGCCATCAGCTGTTTTGGATGCACATACATGTACATGTACGTGTACCAGCACTGGGGTTCAGTAAATGTACTGCACCTGTTCTACCTGTGCTTGTACATGTACATTACTATATGTAGAATAACAAGAAATGTTCCATTTGTTCTTGTGATGTTTCCTTGTTAAAGTTGTTTCCTCCTTGAACCTTTAATTTTGAAGAATAGATAATCCTCGTTTCCTTGTTCCGATGTAAATATGCATGTATGTCAAATACGGACATGTACATGTACATTGTACATGTAAAAAGTGACAGACATTGTGCACGCACATGTATGTGCACATCTACATGTATGCCATACATATACATGTATCAAGATTCAATATAAAGTTTTTTTATGTAGTGGTACAAATCTTTGTTTCAGTGGGTGTCATTTGCCCTTCCAGGCTTAAACATTTGCATGTACATGCATCCACCATTTCCCTCAAGCATTATTGCTACGCTTTTGTGCTCATTCAGTGGAAAATTTGTCACAGCCACAGCAGTTGGCACAATCAGAACATGAACACAATGTGCTTGTTTTCTTTTGTGAGTAGGTCACACAGTGTCATTTCACAATTCCTACACCAAGTCTATCCAGCTGGCAAGTTGCTTATTATGTAAGACATGCATGTACAGTGTACCGGTATGTGACACAAAATGCAATAAAGAGGCCAGTCATGTTAGTTATGTTTCCTGATGGTTTTGAATATCTGTAAGTGTTTCAACTTCCAAAAATATTGTGCACTTGTGACATGCAAGCTGTGGTTTGAATGAGTTCTTTTTTACAGTCAAATTAAAAAAATGGACAGACCAAAATTTACTTACATGTACATTTATCAGTGTGACATTAAAATGGACATTGAGTTTCATATCAAAACAGAAATCACTCTCTTGTCATAATCTTCATACATGTACTTAAACCCTTTACATTGATATCATACACATGAAGAGCAGCTTAAATGGGGGTGCTTAAAATGTACCAAAATCATCAGGGCAACAGTGCTAACATGATGGTAACCTACGGATACTGAGCCCACTTTGCTTCATCTTGTGCCATGTGTCTTCTTATAGAAGCCATTGCATAAATTTTTGACCTTGGGTCAGAAGAAATTCTACTTATGTCTCTGGAATCCAGGAACCAGGGCAACCCAAACTTTCAGCTTTGAATCCCCCCAGTATCAGGGTATGATCTGCATAGACCAGGTGTGTGTGTGTATTAAGCTGTACATATGGGTGAAAGGCAAATGAGAGCTTGACATTGAACCCTGAGTGACAACCTTGGCCCTCTGGTTCTTGATTACACAGTGATGTAACAATTCATGATACTGTGACCTCAGACATCGAGGGCAAGCATTGTATTCAGGATGGGGTGACGTGTTGGAAGCATGGGGTGATGCGAGGGGTGTTTTGTCTGCAGCTGCTTGTTGCCAAGCCTGTGCCTGAATTACTTGGCTATGGCTTGAATTCACACAGGACTTTTGGGTTGTGGCTGTAGCAACTATCATAGACTTGTGTGTAGTGCCAAGCCACAGCCAAGTACTGGTAATTCAGACCTGGCCTCAGTGGTCAGTGAAGTCATGGAGCTATTAAGTGTACTGTACATGTGGGTGTCAGTTCAGAGGAATGCTGTGAATGAGAATTGAGTGAGAGGATTTGAGGCATGGTGTAGGATAGATTGATGGTTTTTTGTCAGCCACATTCATTGTGTTTGTTTTAAGAGATGAAAGTTGAGAAAAACACATGACCACATTTGCAAAATAAATCTTCAGGCCTTCTTTCAACACTTTTGTTTGAGTTGGAAACAACAAACTGAGTTCTTTATTATGATGCACTGTTGTCAATAAGTTAAACAACCTGTATGTTGCTGTGACTGAAGCATATTGAGGGTTCCTGTTTACATTAGCCTTGTTCAATTTGTATACTGAAGTCAGTTTGTTATGTGACAATGCATGTATTATACAATCCCACAATAATCCACAGTACTCCTACTGTACTTGTGCAATGTAATTGGAGAGTGATCTGAACCCTGTGCCCAACCATGCTGTGACCTCATGGCATGTCCCAGTACAGTACTGGTACAGTGTACCAGTTTACCACCAGTTACTGGGTAACTTGTGGGGCAGAGCTTTTTGATTGGCTAAGGATGGGTGACCAGGGTGATGTGAAGGGTGTTTTGTCTGGACACACCTGATTCTGTGTTCCAGCTCAGTGGGCTGCGCAGTGTACAGTGCATACTGGTACATGTACAAGCATGGTACATGTACATGTAAATGTATGGTCTTTTGGTATGGGTCATTGCATGGGGTTGGGTTGCAATTCGTGACTCTGTCCTTGTAACATTTTCCACCTGTCATGACCTGTAGAGTAGGTCATTTACTTTAAAAAATAACACACCTCTGTATTCTGCCTTGCAAGATGTATACCAATGTCAGTTTGGAATCCACATGCAGGGAAATAGCTGTTCATTTTTACGGAACCCATGTAACAATTGTCACCGTCCCGACCCAACCTCATGGAATGACCTATATCAGAATTTTTCGATCATAATCAAGATATCGGCATTCTCAGTATGGAATTTCAGTACTGTGGTATTCTTACTAATGTGTTTGGAATGTTTGCAGAGCCCTTTAAAATAAAGAAAAACCACCATATCCACATGTTTCATTCCATTCTTCATGGCTAGTTATCCAGTGTTATGCTTACACCGTCACTCCGTGGAGGAAGGACAGTGGAGAGATAAGAATGGTGCCCATCTGGACTTGGTAACATAAAACTTGAGCAGCTGCCAACTGTCCTTCGAAATTTTATTTTTCACCGCTGGTCTCAAAGAAAACCTCTGTAGTAGGAAATATCTCAACACTGTCCAAGCCTAGATACCACACCAGAAATCTGTTTTTTTAATTAGCCTGATTATTATCATTGGCCCATTAAATAGTCAGTGAAAAATAGTGAAAAATGACAAGAAATGCATGTTATGATTTGAAACACACAGTGCGACATGTTTCATACCAGAATACTGGTACATGTACATGTATAAGCATTCAGGAAAATGCACCTTTAGGTAACACCGAAACTATAAGAGTCAATAAAAGAGGAAAATACAGTAAGTATGCATTTTAAGTGTCCATTGGGGCAGATGAGGCAGTGAATTTGAGTGGACAATTCCAATTTCCATGGAAAACAGGGATCAGACATCAGTACTATTCAGCTATGATTTATTTCTGGTCACAGACACAATTGACCACTACATTGCACTTTTAAATTCCAAGCAAAATTCAAGTAACAGCCATGTTAAGTGTAACTCAGACTTGAGATTCATTTTGTCAATGATTTTACTTGCTTTCAGTATTTTCACTATCACATCCAACACTGAGATTTTTTATATCTGGTACGATTTTAGAATTCATTATCGACAGTTTTAAAAGTGATATCGAATAATCAGGTAAAATTGATACATCCACAGACCCTAATGTTTGGAAGAATACTGTAAAAAGTGGATATAGGAGGATTTGTGTAGGGTAGATTGCAGGTTTTGTCAGTCACATCTACTCCCTAACATACACAGGTACAGAAGTACTATGTATGTACAGTGCATGTACATGTATACCAGTACCATAGTCCCGGTATGATTGTGTAGTCACATTGATATGTACATGTATATGTTCATGTAGTTGTTGAGGAATGGAAATAAAGAAAAATCCTAGTAATGTTGACTTTTCAACAATATTGACTGTACATGTACATTAGCAGAGTCTCCACAAAGCTATCTCAATCTACAAACGAGTACTGGTATAAAGCAAATAAGAAAAGAACAAATCCCAACCAAAGCTAAAGAACAATTTTCTGCATTTAAAAATATTTTCTTTACACAGGACAGCTAAGAAAAATTGTTTCAATTTTTCTAAGTGCAGTATTAAACATTCACAAAATTGACTACAATAGATCTGCTTTGTATATGAAGGTGGTTCTTTGGGCCGTAAGCTTCAGGATTATCCGTTTTAAGCTACTTTGATTTAAGCTAAAATGACATCAGAATGCATGTGTAGCTTTGCTACAGTGGAGGAGTGTCCTCATGAATAACTTCATGTGCAGAAGCTTACATGTCAATTACTATTTTTGAGCATGTCTGGCAGATGTCTTGTTACGTTAAAATATGATCTTGTCACTAGAGTCACAGCTGTCTTTGCATCGCATTGCTTTGACTCGTGTACCAGCAGGTACATTAACCATGATACCCAGATAGGAGAATTCTTTGGAAGTGAACAAGTACATGTAAACCATTGTGGGACCTTGTTCTGTAGCATGCATGACTTTATTTGTTTTTCAAAAAATGAACTTGATAATATTAATAATTATATCCAAGCATTTACATGTATGGTGCACCGTATCATTCAGTAGCTATACCGGTACATATAATTCAAAGGTACCGTTATATTATCATTATCCCTACACATTAGGCGCATAGCATCTGAACATTCCATCTCAGCTCCCTGGGGAGTTTACTAGCCCAATACTGCCATATCAGGCACAAATGGCTTTGTAGAGAGGCACATACATGTACTGTACTTGTACATGTACATGTACTTGGCAGTCTTATTTGGGCAAAGGTGTACATTGTATGTAAATGTATCACCACCGGACCACCCCCCTTAAAAAATTAGTACATTATAACAGTGTCAATTAGCTTGGTTGCCAGCCAATTTTTTGTCCATTAGTTGATTCAGATTTGTTGTGTATATGCAGTGTGTACATGTACATGTATGTACATTTGAATAATAGAGGTAAAGCATTAAGAAATGTGGTCAGTTCTAATTAGCCTGCAGTACAGTTTTTTCTACAAGTTAACTGAGTACTGATGTATTCATTCACTAGAACTATCACCTGTTAAACATGTAGGTTGTGGCCAGTAATTGTAACCTGGCACATGTATGAAACAGTTGCCGTACCATTTGGCTCAATATACCTGTACATGTACCGTTGTACATGTATATGCCAAGGTCCAAGTACATATACGTGTATGTGTATAACAATCAAATGTTTATCAAAATGAACTTTAATTCTCACGTCAACATACGTTGTACATGTACCAATCCATACATCCAATCCAATCATACCATACCACTGAAGATATTAAACACCAAACATTAATTTGAAACTCAGTTGTCATTAGGCCTACCCTTTATTGCTCTCAATTTTGGTTAAGGTTCATAGTCAAGTTAATCCACTTTATGACAACCTGCAGTTACGCATGCATTTGCAGTACTTATGATTAATTAAATATGCACCAGTGTAGTGCTGTTTTACCGGTATATTAGGCATTGTAAAAAACAAGTTGTGCTTTTCATCCTCACCTACTGTACCGTTAGTTACTTGCTTGGTTGAATCCACTTACAGTGTAGATATTTTTTTGTACCTCCAGAAAGTGTCGACTTACACATATCCATCAAAAATAGAATACATACATGTAAGTTACATGTATTTTCCACACTTTACACATCATGGAGTCATGACCATGATCTTTACCATGCAATCTTCAAACCTTCCTGTGTCACAGCATTCGGGTTACTTTAACCCTAATTGCCAAGCATATTGTTTGGCATACACTACACAGCACTACAAAATACTAAGCACTATAGTCTGATCCTGAAGGACCCAGTGCTGCAGATAACTACTTCTGGCTAGGTTACTTCCATTGTTACTTGTACAGAGAACAATAAAGCCATGCATTCATAGAGCCACAGCACTGTATGGTACATGTACATTGTCTTATCTATTGTA